TTATGAAAACCCGATAACATAATCAAGCTTTAGGGATGAAGTTCTTGAACTTTGATTCCATCTCATACCAAGACTCCAAGCTGATCATGTCATTAAACTCGGAGAATGTAACCATTTTGTCCAAATCATCCCTAGTAGTACCCTTGTCCTTAAGAACCTTCATGATTTCAACCAAAGCTTTGGTTGTAGCATAGATTGTTGAGAGTGAATGAGCAATCAAATGGAACCCGAGTTCCTTGAACTCTGCTGGTGTATGTAAGGGAGTTTTTCCACCTTCGATCATGTTAGCAATCCTCAATCCTTTTACATCCCTAACAACCTCTTTGAGCTCCTCGATGTTAGCTGGTGCCTCGACAAAGGTGGCATCAGCCCCAGCCTGTAGGTACCACAAAACCAATTTATCATGTGTCACAAGATTTACTAAGTGTATAATGCAGATTTTTATTTACTAAAATAAGCCATGTTAATCCCTTCTTAACCCAATTCCCACACGTTTATAGCACGAAAAATGTTTTGCAAGTCTATAAGGAGATCTTTAGGTAATTTATTTGTAAGTTCAAGAATGATTTAGAATCGAAGATGATATACCTCTCTGTAAAGGTTAGCGCGTCTAATAGCTTCTTGAAGACCGTGGGGTGCCCGTGCATCAGTCCTAGCTACCAGGAAAAAATCAGCATCTCCAATTGCTTCTCTTGCTGCTGCTATCTTGAGAGCATGCTCTTCTGCAGGTACAACCTGACAGTAACGTAATATAAATGAAAACAATTTGTTAGCCCTGATTGCTTTCATATGCTTGGATTAGTTAAATGTATCAAAATAAACTAGTAGCATATAGTAATTGTGTGAGACAAGTTTGCGATTACCATCTTGCCACGCATATGACCTAAGAAAAAAGACACAATATAGTGAAATTAGTAACGATGTAAAGGCAAGTGTACCATTGGTAACACTATAAAACAGAGGAAATTTCGATATTTACCACACTTCTTCGGCCACACTTGATCCTGTCATGAAGAAAGTTAAAAGTTTTTAAGCTATATGATACAGAAATACACACATTAACATACACTACATAAGAATTCAATCACAATCTTGTTCTAACTCGTGTTCATAACACAAGTAGAACCATTTACCTCTAGAAAAACACCCTTAGCACCAGCTCTGATCAACTCTTTAATGAACCTTTGTACATTAAGAGGACCACCACCACCAGTGTCTTCGCGCCACAAAATTAAAAACAAAATACTTTTGTAAGTGTTACTTGGAAAAAAAAAATTATCGCGGTATATGAAACATGACAAACACTAGTCTGTTACCTCCATCAACAATGACACACAAGTCCGGGGCAGCAGCTGTTATTCTACGAGTAGCTTGTGTAACTTCCGTTGTCCTGTATAACATAAATTCATAATAACACGTTTGAGAAAATTAGAGATGCAATTAGTACGAAAAAGTTCAATGGTAGAGCTCACACCTTATGACAGTTAGGAGTTGTTCTCTTTAAATTTTTTTCAGTTCAGTTCTTAATTTCCTATTCTCATAAAATATTCAGTTATGTTCAGCTTCAATTATTTCAGTTTAGCAATTTAACTCAATTCACTCAATCAGAATAGACCCTTAGTTAAAAAATATCATAACTTTCTAGTAACGGGTTTTAATTAGTTTCTAATTTTCAGCCCATAAACTATGCTATTCAGATGGGCTCCCACACACTTTGTAGTAATGGGTATTAGGCTTAGGCTAGTAGATCAAATCATAAAATTCTAGAAAAAGTAAGGTGGAGAATAATACTGATGACTTTGACATAAAGCTAGACACATAAACGTGTATACTCACTTCACTTAGTCCCATTTCCAAAAAAAAGGATAGTAAGATAAAATTAGACACTAGAAAGTACATATATGTCCCTTTTTCTAGCTTTTACATTCTATTGAAATCAAAGTAGACCAATATTGGCAAAATATGATTAAAGAAAAAAGTTAATGTTGCCCTACTTTGAGTTTCAACTATGCCCGTAACTCCATGTTACATAAAATTTTGACACTTTAAATCTTGATCTTTTTTTTTTTTTTTTTCAAAAATTGAATAGTTGAATATCTATAGACTAAAATGAGTTCATTTAGGTGCAATTTTTCCAATGTACTTCATAGTATAATGAAAGCCACCTACCAAATCACGAACTTTACTAGCTTAACAATAGTTGGGAATTTAATTTGTTCATCACCAGGGTGTTTTTGAAATACGGAGAATACATTGTGGATATTTCAATTAGTAGATTTTGATAATTATAATGTTTGTTGGGGGCTTAAATAAACATAATTTGTTCATCACCATATTCTAAATTTCGAGTTCTCAACTATGCATTATTGAATTAAGCCATTATTTGCTAAACTAAAAAATGTATTACTTTTGGAGATCTAAAAAGAACTTGTAAGAGAATAGTTTTGAATGTAAGGAATACTAAGGCTTTTTTATTTTTCCTTTTCCTAATCGAAAGAAACCAATATACTCCTTATGTTCTAAAATTGTTATCCCACATTCCCACCGTGTCCACCCTCACAGTTAAGGAAATGACACGAGTTTACAAAGATAAACCTTATATAACAATTGTCACATTTATACTTTCTCCCAATTACATAAAATATGTAGCAACATCTTTAAAATATGATTATATGCCCACTTAAAGCTTATAAGAATATTCTAACACAATATACAACCTAATCAATTAGACCATTATTACAAACTATAATCAATCTTCCATATATATATATAACAAAACCTTATCATAAGATTCTTAACTTAAAAAAAACCTTAGTTAATGAAACAATACTTAAACATGTTTAACAAAGCATTAAATAAGCAATTAATGAGAAAATTAGACAGATAAAATAAGATAGAGAGAAAGAGAGAAATATACGTGAGCAAGCCAAAGTCAGGCAAGCCAAGGAGTGCAGCGGAAACACCAAAGCCAGAAACAAAACAAGCCTTAAAACCAGTTTTGGCAGCAATAGCAGCCGAAAAAGCGTCTTGAATACCCGGCATCAACACCGGCCCTTCCTCCGCGATAAGGCGGTGCATTGTAGTGTTGCCCTGAGCCACATTATTGCTAGCACCAATAGAGCCCATTTGTATGAAATTTGATCACTTGAAACTAGTGTTGTTTTTGTATTGTTTGTATCTTAACAATGATATAGTATACTATGTTTTATGTATAAATATATGCTCTTGTTATCTTATTTATACTACTATAAGAGTAAAAGACTAACACTTGGTAGTGTTGTAGTAAAATAGTAACATATACACACTGAGTAGTTGGGAAATTTCGTGGCAAGGTTTTTAGTATTTTTGAACCAAGTGGAAATTTCCTTCTTTGTTATTTTTGTCTTTTAGGGATGAACTTAAAAATCTGACAAAGTGGAGAACCCATTGATGGGTCCCTACATATGATGAGTAATTTATGTTTTACATGGTGTTTATATCCGTATATGGTATATCTATCATGCTCGTGCAATGCATAGTTGTTTCCGTTACTAATATGTACTTCGTATAACGGTATAAATGTTGTGAAACTTCCGGTTTTTGAGGAAGAAGCGTAATTCTTAACTCATCAGATTGATGGCATTACGGGTCTTTTCTTTTCCGCTTATTTTCATTTCAGTTCAATTTAGCTTCAATAAGTTCAGTTCAATTCAGTTTAATTCTTAATTTCCTTCTCTCATAAAATATTCAGTTCAGTTCAGTTCAGATCCAATAAGTTCAGTTTAATTCAGTTTAGTTCAGTCAATCAGAATATGCAAGCCCTACAACAAGACTTTAGCTTGCATACATTACAAATGAAAATAAAATAAAATAAAAATTAGGAAGGTAGCTTTTATATAATTTGAGTCTTGATATGATCACTCAAAATTTTGATTGAAAATGAGAGTACGTAGTTTGATCAAGCTTATAATATAAGTTGGTTATTTTCTCTCATGCTCATATGAAGCAACTTCAAATATATATGAAGTATATGTTTTAATGGAATTCTCAACATTCAGATATGGTCTTAAATAACTTAAAACTTTATAATGATCTATGTACAGGTTATTATGTTAGCAATAGTACGAAGTATGTCATAAGACTAGTTATTATGTTATTTTGCTCATCTCTAAGACTAGTTAAACTTAATAAATTGACCTGTTAATCATCTAGATTATCTTATAAACCAACAAATTAGAAAACAATCAAACACCTTTGAACTTGTTGTGTAATTCTAACAGTTATTATACATTACCCATTTTAAAACCATGTGGTATAACAGGTATGACTAATTTTGTGTCCACTTGTTTTTTTTTTTCTTGCCCCATCTGGTTTAATTTATTGGAGCTTAACTTTGACTACATCCATATTCGATTGAGGTCGCACACCTCGCTTATGATGAGTGGGTTCCTCAATAAGAATTTTCTGCATTCAATTCGATGGGGCTCGATGGTGAAAACTTGAGAAGATCAAGTTTCTGGAAAAACAGAATCAAGAGAGAATAGAGAGAGAAAATCTGGAAAATTGTAAATCAGATTTTTATTATGTCATAAACTTATGAAAGGAGTAGATTACAGAATATATATACACTAGTAGAAAAAAGCTCATTTGCGTCGCTCATTTATAGTGTATTTGCGTCGCTTCTATGAGCGACGCAACTGCTCGCGATGCAAATGATTTAAAAGTCATTTCTCCTAGGCGCGACGCAAATAAGAGTCATTTGCGTCGCTCCTTTATAAAGGAGTGACACAAATAGCTGGTCTGATCAACTTCTTGTTTGTTATTTGCGTCACTTGTTTATATAGGAGTGACACAAATGACTGACTAGACAATACAAAATTGCTTTATTTGCGTCACTTGTTTGTTTAATGAGTGACGCAAATGATGTGAATTTTTTTTTTTAATTATAATAATTGCTTGTATATGTTTGTAGTACCTGTTTTTCTTGCTAGTGGTATAAAGTAATATGCTAACGCTAATAATTGAAATTAAAATGCAATATTATTGAATGCAAATGTAAATTTCGGTAGAGTCTCCTTTGTATTTTGGCCTACCCATAAAATTGGGAATGATGGCATTATATTAACAACCTGTCCAATAATTTACATCTCAATATCATAGACATTATACTCATCATCCCAATACCAATTAACCAAAATCATTCATGTCAAGCCTATAATCCAAAACAAGAGTCCAACATGCGCTAAGTGTAAATCTAAAGTTCAACATTACATATAAAATACTCTGCCCAAATATCTCGAATCTCATTTATCTCCTCCTCGGTATACGGTGGAAAGCTTGCACTAGACAATGTTGTCAATAGTCCCAGCGATTCACCAATCTTGAAGGCTCCTGCTCTCATAACTCCAACAGTAGAAGGACCTATAACAGCTTTAAACTCCAAATAATAAACTGAACAAATTAGTTCTTCAATCTTATGCAAAATGATTGTAATAAGATATTAAGTATTAACCAACCACATACCGCCAAAAAAAAAGAAAATTCACATATTCTTGAACAAGAAAAAGGGTAGTATTTATACACACAAGCCTTCATAATCTATGATAAATTTGTGAATAAATTAATATTCAATGTTTCTTGATCTTAAGAAGGTTGTGGTCTTGTGGATATCCTGTTGCACACAAGACGCAACGCAAAATGGCAATGCTAGTCTCTCTTAATTGATGTAATTATCATTAGACATCAAATATCGCATAAAATGACTCACTATAAAATATCGATAAAATCACTCATAAACCAAAACTCCACTAATTATAACTATTGACCTTGGAAAAAAAAGGAAGATAAAAAAAAATGGGCCATAGTGCTCAAAGTATGGTCATGGGAAAGATGAATGATTAGAGTACACAGCAACAACTACTATCTAAAGTGAGGCAAAACTATCTAATGTATCACCATGCTATAATTTAAGATAATTATTTAGTGACATAGCAGAAATCACTAAGGGTCAGACAGGCAACCAAAGAAGCCACCACCTTGGTATATAAAATAGTAAATGACTTACATGTATTGTTTTGCAAAAAATTTTGGGTTCCTCAGGGTCCTCAAATGGGTAAGCCCCGACCAACATTACATACAAAGTTACCCCACAAGACCACACATCTGCAATCTGAAATGGCATGGAAGCAAAGATGAATAAGAGTATTCAAGTGTAGCCAACTAGCCACCACTTAATAGTCTTAACATCAAAGAGTGCAGCATGTTTAAATTTCCTACTTCTTCAAGAACTGGTAATATGTGATACTCGTAACAATGTAACATAAATGGCAATTTATATTAGCTTTCGAATGACAAGCTTTATCCAAAACATTAGTAGTCATTTATTGTAAGTGTGCCAAAGATGTGCTTTTGTCATTTCAATACTATAAAATATCTCTTATATTAACAAGAAAAAAAAACCCCTTAAAAAAACAAACTGATCCCAAGAATCACCTTTGATACAAGAAAACAAACCAGATAAATTGAGCACAGATGGGAATGATTTCTCTCACGGATTCCCAGTGAAATATTTAGAAGTTAGATGAATTTTCTTGGCATGTATGGGTAGTTTTACTTGCCTGAAAAAACATGAAAGTAGTGAGTTTGACGAATACACATTACTTAACAAAAATTACAGCAGCCCCATCAAAGAAAACAAAGTAAAAAACTTTATGCTTACTATTCCAAACCAACTTGTGGTGATAGGTACTACTGCCTTAATCGTTTGTCCACAACCAGAACCTCGAGCAACTTGTGGAATTCACTTTCGCATAATTAAGAATCTTCCATATAAAATTACATATATTAAACCAACAAAATTCAATCATACTATAAAAATATTTTCTAATTAATGAATTAATAGTAAACCTGAAATTAAACTACGTCCTTGTTCAAGTCAGATGCTACATTCTATCTACCATGAAAATATTGAACATTTTTTTTTTGGAGGAAATGAAAATATTGAACATAAATAGAAGCAATCTTACCTTAGGTGAAATCGACTTCACAAATTCAACAATGTCGAGCCTAAATGCAGTTGATTTGGAGGAGCGAACACGGTCGAACTGCTATGGGTTGGTATCAGTTGACATGTTGTACTCATAATCAACCTATCAAAGCAAACAGTTGAACAATTTGGTACCCATAACTCACAGTAAGAGAAAATTTATTTTATGAAAAAGGATCGATTATCAGAATGCCCATCTTGGCTGTTGGGCATTGTAAAAAGCGTAGAAAATTTAAATTAAAACAGAAAATTTAACATAAAACAGAAACAATCTTAAAACAGAAAATTTAACCCACAACACTGTATAGTAATTTTGAAAATATTGAATATAAATAGAAGCAATCTTACCTTAGGTGAAATCGACTTCACAAACTCAAAAATTCCCAACATTGGTCGACTATGAGGACAGTAATTTTGCTCGAATTTTTTGGGGTTTCTAGGGTTCGAATTCATGGGGTTTTGATTCGATTTTTTTGCTCGAATTTGCTCAAATTAATGCTCGATTATTTTGATCGAATGTGCTCGAATTAATGCCCAGAATTTGCTCAATTTTTCTGGGGGTTTTTTTTGGTGTTTTGCTCGAAATTGGGGGATTGTAGCTCTGAATTTTTTCCGATTATGGGTGTTGATTTGATTGCGGTTTGGTTATTGAATTTGTGGGGGTTTTTTTGGTCGAATTTCTGGGGATTTTTGGGTCGATTTTCTGGGGGGTTTTGGGTCAATTTTCTGGGGGTTTTAGGGTCGAATTTCCTTGAATTTCTGGGTGATTTTTGCTCGAATTTCTTGGGGTGTGTGCTGGGTCGAATTTCTGGGGTTTTTTGCTCGAATTTCTGGGTGTTTAGCTCTTGGAAATCGCTGTCTTGGAAGATAGGAGTGGTAAAAGGGAGGCAGCTAGCAAGTGAATCAGAAATAACAAGTGACGCAAATAATTAAAAGTATAATGCTGCACATTATTATTTGCGTCGCTCATTAGTTAAAGGAGTGACGCATTTTAATTCTATCACTCATTTGCGTCACTTGTCACTAAATGAGTGACACAAATAACATTATTATATGCGTCGCTTCAATAATAATTAAGAGCGACGCAAATAACAGAAAGCTAAAATGTATCTGACTTTTGCATCGCTTCTTGGCTAATGTGCAACGCAAATCACTTTTAATGATGCTAAAAAAGCATTTGCTTCGTTCTTTTGTATGAGTGACGCAAATAAGGCGACGCAAATAAGGCGACGCAAATGTACGTTTTTCTACTAGTGATAGCTTGTACAAAACACAAGAAACTTGTGCAAGAATTCTAGAAATATCTTAGACAACTACTAACAGAATTCTATTAGGCAAAACAGAATTCATAACAGAATTGTCAAGCTGGCAATCTAAATATGAGCTGAGCCAGCTCATCACCCCCTCCTCAAGATTGACTTGGTGAGAACCCTGACCAATCTTGAACACAGGGCTGAGAAACAAGACCAATCTTCTGAGACAAAAACCTATGTTGATCAGCCCCTAATGGTTTTGTCATTATGTCTGCTAATTGTAGAGCAGAAGACACATGAGCAATCTTAATGAAACCAAGTTGGACATTCTCACGAACATAATGAACATCCAATTTGTAATGCTTTCTCCTGAGATGTTTAGTCCGTTCATGAAAGCAAGGGTTATCAGCAATATGTTGAGCAGCGACATTATCACAAAATAGAGTAATAGGTTTAGGAACCTGTATCCACAAATCTTCTAATAAACCATCAATCCAAACAACTTCATCAGCTGTTTGACTCATGCTAGTTGTTTGACTCATGCTTCGATACTCGGCCTCAGTTGAACTCTTGGAAACAGCTTTATGTTTCTTTGTTTTCCAAGAAATCAAAGAACTGCCCAAGAAAATGCAATAACCAGTAAGGGATCTCCCAGAATCTAAACAATTTCCCCAATCAGCATCACAATATGTAGACAACTTCAAATCAACATTTGCAGCATAAAACAACCCATAGTTCAAAGTCCCTTTCAGATATCTCAGGACATAAGTAGCAGCAAGATAATGTGGAGCTCGAGGAGCATTTAAAAATTGACTCAATTGCTGCACAATGTATGAAATATCTGGCCGAGTCAAATTCAAGTAAAGAAGCTTGCCAATCAGTCTCCTATATACTTCAGGATCCTGCATAAGCTAACCATCATGTAAGCTCAAAGCTAGTCCTTTTTTACTAGGAAATGGTGCTGGTTTACAGTGCTCCATTTTGGTATCAATGAGCATATCAAGCACATACTTTCGTTGATTCAGCATAATTCCAGCATTAGATCTTGTCACTTCTATCCCTAGGAAATATTTGATGTTCCCAAGATCTTTAATAGTGAAAGCTTTGTGCAAAGCATCCTTGACTGCGGCAATAAAATCAGGATCATTCCCAGCAACAAGTAAATCATCAACATAAGCAACTATAATAGTGTACTTGTTGCCAATTCTGTGAAGAAACATTGAATAGTCTTGATGAGACTGAGTAAAACCAAAATCGATCAGAAACTTAGAAAGCTCCACATTCCACTGTCTTGAAGCCTGCTTAAGGCCATAAAGAGAACGCTTAAGTTTACACACTTGCCCAGGATGAACCTTATTGTAACCCAAAGGAGGCTGCATGTAGATATCTTCATCTATATACCCATGCAAAAATGCATTATTAATATCAAGTTGCTGAACATCCCAATTTAAGGCAGCAGCAACAACAAGAATCAATATCACAGTAGTCAGTTTAGCTACAGGGATAAAAGTGTGTTTATAATCTTTGCCCTTTATCTATCTATCTCCTCTTCCTACCAAACGAGCCTTGCATCTCTCTACATCTCCATTTGGCTTAAATTTGGTCTTATAACCCCATTTACAGCCTATAGCCTTCTTGTCTGAAGGCAAGGTTGTAATTTCCCAAGTATCATTTCTCTCAAGAGCATCAATCTCATCCTGCATAGCTTGAACCCATTCAGATATGTCTTTTGCCTCATTGTAAGAACTAGGCTCTTTAACATCCAGAACCTTAGCAAGACTGTCAGGAAGAACAAAATGTGGCAGAGATACAACATAATCAGTGAACTTCTTAGGCATTTGCCTAGGTCTCTTAGTCTCATGAGGAGAAACAATATGATGCACAGTGTCAGGAGAAGAAACAGTTTGATGCACAGGAACAGAAGAAAAAGAAGAATCAGAAACAAACTCTCGATGAGAATCAGAACCAGAAGAAGAAAGATTATGAGAGGAATGATCATTCAAAGAAAAATGAGGAATTGTAGAAGGAGAAAAAAAATCTGAAGATGAACTCTAAGGCAGCTCATTATTCAAAAAAGAAAGAGAAGGAAAATCACACACAGGAACAACAACATCTGTGCTAGTGACCTTGAAAGGAAATACATGCTCAACAAAATGAACATGTCTACTGAAAACAATTTTGTGGGTATCTAAATCATAGAGTTTATAACCTTTTTGAGCATAAGGATATCCAAGAAAAATACATTTCTTTGATCTAGGGGCAAATTTATCAGGGAGTTTTTGGTAAGGATAGCATAAGCAACCAATCACTCTTAGTGTAGAATAGTCAGGTTTGACACCTAACAACTTCTGAGCTGGAGATAACCAACCCAAAACAGCGGTAGGAATTTTATTCAGTAAGTATGTAGCAGCCAGAATACAATCACCCCAGAACTTTACTAGCAAACCAGCATGAAACATCAAAGCTCTAGCTATTTCCAATAAACTCCTATGCTTTCTTTCAACCCTCCCATTTTGTTGAGGTTCCCCTGGAAGATTTCTCTGATGCACAATACCTTTGCTCAGAAATAAAGAAAAGTACAAAACTCTTTCAAGATCTTAGTACCATTATCAAACCTAATGGCTTTAATGGTGACCTTGAAATGATTCTCAACATAGGCAAGAAAACCAGTAATTATAGTTTGAACCTGAGCTTTATCATGAACAAGATGAGTCCAAGTAGTTCTTGTATTATCATCCAAGATAGTCAGAAAATAATGTGCTCCAGATAAAGAACCATGAGCATAAGGCCCTCATAAATCCTTATGAACAAGATCAAATGGTGCAACAGCCATAGAATCAGATAAAGAATAAGGCATTTTATGATGCTTAGCAAGAACACACACTTCGCAATTAAAATCACAAGTATTATTGCTTGAGAACAATTCTGATACATGTTTCATTGTACTTACAGATAAATGCCCTAATCTAGCATGAAGTACATCAATACTAGGCTTATTTGAGGCTGAAGTAATAGTGTTATTTACAACAATATCAGAATGATTACTAGTATGTGAACTTGAATGTAAAGAAAGGCTTGAAAATTTGTAAAGACCACAAGACTTGACTCCATAAGCTTTATCTTGCCTAGTGACAGGGTCCTGAAACACACAAGAATTGTGCTAAAAAATAGCTAGAAGAGAGGATTGTTCAAGAAGTTTTCCTACAGAAAGAAGATTATGTCGAAATTCTGGTATATAAAGAACATCTGAGATCAGAATATCAGGAGTTAATTGAACTGTTCCTGAATATTTAACATGTTTAATTGATCCATCAGGCAATCCTACTGTTATGTGTGATTTTAAATGCTTTATAGAAGTGAATAAAGCTAAGTTTGATGCCATATGATCAGATGCACCTGTATCTATTATCCAAGCATTTCGATCAAAAGATTTCTGCATTAACTGAGCAGTATGAACAGAAGTTATACTTGCAAAGTTGACTGTAGTGATAGTATTAGATGCCATTTCCTTGCTACTCTGCATCATCTTGACAACCTGCTGATATACAGTTGAGACCATAGTAGGACCAGGACCAGGATCAACAGAATATGAAACATTGCCATTAGCAAACTCCATTGGAGCTTTTCCAAGAATACCAGAATTAGAATGAACATTAGCAGCAGACTTCACAGTTGATTTAGACTTCAATGATGACCACCACTCAGGATAACCAATTATTTTGAAACAGTCTTAAATAGTATGACCTCTAGTTTTGCAATTGTCACAAAACTTATCATACTTCTGCTTCTTATAATCCTTTTTCTGTATAGAATTAGATCCAGTAGCTCCAACAGCTTGTTTATGACCACTAGAAGCAACTGATCTATTAGCTGCTAAAGCACTAATTTCAGGTAAGAAATCAACAACATCATTCAATTTCTTCTGAGTTTCAACCTGTTGCAGCATGTAATATGCCTTAGTAACAGGAGGAAGCTGTTCAGAACTCAACAAATTCGTCTTAACAGGATCATAAGATTTGTTCAAACCAACAAGAAGTTGCATCAACTTATTGCGTTGATTAGCCTCCAAAACCTTCTTCAGCATACCACAACTGCAGTGTTTCATAGCACCACAAGTGCAATCTAGAAAACCTTCCAGAAGTTGAAATTGATCCCAAATTTGCTTCAATTGACCATAATATTCAGCAATTGAAGCATCGTTATTCTAAATACGAGACAAACTCCTCTTCAATTCAAAAATATAAGGTGCATTACTCTGACCAAAACGTTCAGAGATCTCCTTCCACAATTCATGAGAAGAATTCACAAACATGAAACTACAAGCAATAGATTTATCAATCGAATTCAAAATCCAAGACATTATCATGTAATCATTCCTTATCCACTTCTGATAATCAGAAGAATCAGTACTAGACATACTCAATGATCCAGTAATAAATCCAAGCTTATTGCGAGCAATTAAAGCCATTTTCACAGCTCTACTCCAGTTCAAGAAATTCAAAGTAGTAAGAAAAAGATTCACAATCTGCATACCTGGATGATCGCTATTAGAAATGTAGTAAGGATCATTGAAATTCACTGATTGCGAATTCGATTGTGGATTAGATTCTCCAGCCATATTGAAGATAAACACCTCAAATCAGATCAAAAATCCAGAAATCAAGAAGAAAACCTACTCGATTAATTCGAGTAAATCAAGAAGAAAGAAGAAATCAGAAAACAAATCAAAGAAACTCAGAATCAGAGAATCGCTAGCTCTGATACCATGAAAACTTGAGAAGATCAAGTTTCTGGAAAAACAAGATCAAGAGAGAACAGAGAGAGAAAATCTGGAAAATTGTAAATCAGATTTTTATTATGTCATAAACTTATGAAAGGAGTAGATTACAGAATATATATAGCTTGTACAAAACACAAGAAACTTGTGCAAGAATTCTAGAAATATCTTAGACAGCTAATAACAGAATTCTGTTAGGCAAAACAGAATTCATAACAGAATTGCCAAGCTGGCAATCTAAATATGAGCTGAGCCAGCTCATCAGATGGAGTTTGAGACCTCTCAAGTATTTTTCTTATATATACAACCTACATTTTTTAAGCTCTTTACATTTTACATTCACATACACCTTCAAAAGTAATATATCAAACCGACCCTAAGAAACTAAAAAAAAAAGAGTTGCACTTTTTTGTTCAATCATCAAAATCATGATATTCTAATAATTTTGATTCATTTTTTTGGTTCATTTTTCTACGTATGAATAACTACCTCCGTTTTTTTTAGTTGCAACTTTGGGTAATATTTGAGAGATAAAATATTCCAAAGTTGCAACTAAAAAAAACTCGGAGGTAGTATATCATATAGTTCAAAAGCAAAAAAATGAAAACTACATTGATCGATACTAGGTTCTGTTGATTACTCAATCTTCAATCAAAATTATTTTAATAGCTAACTGATCAAGTAGCACTAGATTACCTTATTTATCCTCAAATTCATAACTCATACAATAGTAAACAAGTGGTATTAGACCACATCATATGGTATAATATAATATGACTTTAAGCTCATATAGTTCAACCCCATTATTTGGCACACCCAATAAACATAATCACTCTTTAGGGATGAATTTCTTGAACTTTGATTCCATCTCATACCAAGATTCCAAGCCAATCATGTCATTAAATTCGGAGAATGAAACCATTTTGTCCAAATCATCCCTAGTAGTACCCTTGTCCTTTAGAACCTTCATGATTTCAACCAAAGCTTTGGTTGTAGCATAGAGTGTTGAGAGTGGATGAGCAATCAAGTGAAAACCTATCTCCTTGAATTCTTCCGGAGTATGTAAAGGAGTTTTTCCTCCTTCGATCATGTTAGCAATCCTCAATCCTTTTACACCCCTAACAATCTCTTTGAGCTCCTCATCGTTTGCTGGTGCCTCAACAAAGGTAGCATCAGCTCCTGCCTGTAGGTACATCATAAAAGCAAAGGTATCATCTTAATGCATTTGAAACTCGAAAAAATACAATATATAGAGGGTCTGTTCTCATTGACTGAACTCAGCTGAACTGAACTGAAGTGAAGTGAATATTTTATAAGAGAAGGAAATTAAGAGCTGAATTGAACTGAATTTCAACGTATGAGAATAGGCCCAGAAGGTTATATATACCTCAGTGTAAAGGTTTGCGCGTCTAATAGCTTCTTGAAGACCGTGGGATGCCCGTGCATCAGTCCTAGCTACCAGGAAAAAATCAGCATCTCCAACAGCTTCTCTTGCTGCTGCTATTTTGACTGCATGCTCTTCTGCAGGCACAACCTGATAATATAGTAACAGTATTCAAAAGAAAGCAATTTGTTAACTCTGATTGCCTTGAATGTATAAGCATATACACTAGATTACTAGCAGCAGATTAGTGAAAATGGGAGATGAGTTTGCAATTACCATCTTGCCACGCATATGGCCTGAAACAACATAAGATACAGTGAATTAGTATCGATATAGAGACTAGAGTATCATAGTTTACGATATAAAGACTGATAAAACAGAGTAAATGTCGATTTTTACCACACTTCTTTGGCCATACTTGATCCTGTCATGAAGAAAGTTCAAAGTTATATGATACAGAAATAATAAAGACATATAAACATATGTGTTCAATTACAATCTTGTACTAAATCCTACATTCGCGTAGTTTTGGTACATAAATATGTTGTTAATAGAGACAGTTTTATGCCTCTTTGAATCTTTTTTGAGGAACATTTAGGCAAATTTACAGATTCTTATAGATTTATATCATTACAGAACTTGAAGTGATTATAAATCATTTTCCTATGCTATTACATACGAAGAATAACTCAAGCAGAACAATTTACCTCTAGAAAAATACCCTTAGCACCAGCTTCGATCAACTCTTTAATGAACATTTGTACATTGAGAGGATCACCACCACCAGTATCTTCACTTATCAACAAAAACAAAAAAAATTCTGTAAGTGTTACATTGGAAAAAAATTTATCGCGGTACATGAAACATGATGAACACTAGTCTGTTACCTCCATCAACAATGACACACAAGTCCGGGGCAGCAGCTGTTATTCTACGAGTAACTTGTGTAACTTCCGTGGTCCTGTATAACATATAGTCATCATATCAATCAAAATTCCTAAAAGACACAAAGTAATTGGCCACCTTAGCTTAAACTTCTGTGGTCCTGAATTTGGTGTTATTGAAAGAGTATATAAATCGATCATGGATTTCAACCATAAGCTTAAACTTTTAATTGAGTTAGTCTTTTATGTCAAATTCCATTAGGCTATTGCATCAAATCACAAATTCTAGAAAAAGGTACAGGATATTCTGATGACTTAGACATAAAGCTAGACATAAACGTGTATACTCACTTAGGCCCATTTCTAAAAAAAAAATAGTGCAAGATAAAATTAGATACTACTTGTAGAAAGTAATTCCCTTTTATGTCAGCTTTTACATATTATTGAAATCGAATTAGACCAATAATATGATCTAAGAAAAAAGTTAATGTTGCCCTACTTTGAGCTTCAACTATGTCCATAACTCCATGTTATATAAAGCTTTGACACATTAAATCTCTATTGACTTTAAAAATATCTTGAATATTTAAATAGCAATAAGCTAAAATTAGTTTATTAAGGTGTGTTTCTACAATATTTGCTCCATAATAATACTCTCTCCGGCCCTAAATTACATTCCTTTTTTCTCTATTATGTAATGAATAAATGCTAGAAATAGGAATGTAATTTAGGGACGGAGGGAATACTAATTAGTAGTGGAAATCCACCTAATCAAATGACCTTTTTTAATATTTGTGAATTGAATTAGTTAATCATGAGGATTTTGTTGAAATCCCGATAAAACATAGTGGACAATTCATTTTAAAAAAATTGCTAATAATGATTATTGGGACTTAAATAAACAAAATTGGTTCATCACCAATTTATAAACTTTAATTTTCTAAGCTAGTTGTTGTTAAATCAAGTTATTCTTTGGCAAATTCATGACAACACTCATCTTTTCAAGATCTAAGAAGAGCTTGTATGAGATTAGTTTTAAATATATATGGATTTATCAAGGTGAATTACCATAAGTTTTCCACATTTATGATTAAGGAAACGACACGAGTTTACAAAGATAAGCCTTTGATAAAAACTATCAAGTTTAATTTATACTTTCTCCCAATTACACAAACAAAATATGTAATGGCATCTTAATATAAATGTGGCCAGTTTTTCTAATCTACCTCCTCAATCATTTCAATATGTCCACAAGTATATTCTAACACAAATATGCAAGCTAATTATACTCATTAGAGTATTAGACCATTACAAACTTAAATCAATCTTTCATAAATTTATCATGATTTGAAAAAACTTAAACAAAGAATTAAACCAGGCAATTATTAGGAGGGGACTTCCACCGAGGCCATTGAATCCGGCCCCGATAGAAAATTATTCTAATTAATTATTTAATAAACTTAAATAATCTTATTTTAATTATAAAATATCAGAACATAGTGATTAATTTTGAGCGAGAGGTAAAAGATTTAAATCTCGGCCCTCTAATATTTTGGCCAAGATCCGCCACTGGCAATTATGAACTTAATAATTAGATTAATAGAATAAAGGAAAGATAAAGATAGAAATATACGTGAGCAAGCCAAAGTCAGGCAAGCCAAGTAGTGTAGCGGAAACACCGTAACCAGAGACAATACAAGCCTTCAAGCCAGTTTTGGAAGCGATAGCAGCCGAGAAAGCGTCTTGAATACCCGGCATCAACACCAATCCTTCCTCCGCGATAAGGCGGTGCATTGTAGTGTTTCCCTGAGCTACATTGTTAGCATCAATACAAGACATTTGGATGAAACTTGGTCACTTGAAACTTCTAGCTAGTGTTGTTTTCGTATTGTTTGTGGCTTAACAATGATATAGTACGAAGTATATATTTTCTGTTATTATGTTTGGAACTCCGTAGTATATATTGTTGCCTAATCAGTAGCCTTAGTTTACGCCTAATTAGTTGCTTTGTACAACAGTATGTGTAGTCTACTAGTCTTGTACTCTTGTTATCATATTTATGACTAACAGACTAACAGTACACTTGGTAGACTGTTAGTTGGTAGGTTTCTCTTCTCCGAATGTTTTTTGTTTGTTTTTTTTTTTTTACCTTAAAAAAAATTCTGTTCTCCGTGATTTTTAAATGCATCCTTTTTTTTATATTACGGATTTTTAGACAATTTTTGAAATATATAGAGATGAAGAATTAAAATAAAGAGGATATGTGGGTGATGCATTTTAATTAAAACTTTATCTATACAAAGTACTGTAATATTTCGGAAAATTTGCAAATTACAGCTATTTAAAGTTAGTATTTTGTAAATCGCAGTCATTTAAAAAAAATTGCAAATTACAGCCCAAAAGTTCTTATAAATTGTAAATTGCAACCCAATTTAACTTTTTCATCGGTTTACGTGTTAAAAAAATTTGGTTAAGGTTTTGGAGGCCATTTTTTCTCTTAAGGTTCGAATTGAGCTCGCAATTAGCAAAAAAAAAAACGTAAGTACCTCGTTTTTACAGCAAAAAATAGTTTTCCAGAAATCAATACATTTTTACACAAAACGAGGTACTTATGTTTTTTTTTTGTTTTTTTTTTTTTTTTTTGCTAATTCCGAGCTCAATTCGGGTCCTTAAAGATTAAAATGACCCCTAAAAACCTTAACCAAATATTTTTCAACACGTAAGCCGATGAATAAAGTTGAATCGGGCTGCAATTTACAATTTATAAGAACATTTGGGCTATAATTTGCAATTTTGTTTATATGTGGTTACAATTTGCAAAATACATATTTTAAATAGATACAATTGACAAATTTTCCTAATACTTCTAAAAAAACAAAGGAAGTAATAAGAGTAATAAAATTGTTGAATATAAATTTGGTACTCCCTCCGTCCCATAATATAGTTTCCGTTTTCCTATTTTAGAGATCCAAAATGTTGTTCATGAATCCTGATCTATTTTTAAATAGTATATAAAGACCATTATACCCTACTTTTTTAACTTTATTCATTGTATTTCCTAATTTACCCTTGAATTTTGCACATGCATTATACTTTTCTCACTTTTTCTCTCTAACTTTTGTCTACGATTGTACTTTTTATTTTTATTAATATATTTCATCCATTTTCTTCTTCTATTTCTTAAATACCGTAAAAAAAATATAACTAGCAACTATATCATGGGACGGAGGGAGTACTAGTGGACTATTGGAGTTAGAGGTGTCAAAACCGAACCGACCCGAAAAAAATTATCCGTTTCAAACTGTAACCGATCTGATTTGATCCGAGAAATTCAAGACCCAAACTTGATCTGTAACCGAACTGAACTCAACCGGAATCCGAACTTGACCCGATCTGAACTTAACCCGGCACCGATTTGATCCGACCTGAACTCAACCGAATCCGATTTGACCCGGCCTGAACTCAAACCGAACCGATTGGACCCGACCCGAGCTCAACCCGATCCGAAATTGACCCGAAAAATAACCGATCTAATCCGATCTGTTTTGACCCGAACTGATATTAACCTGATCCGATTTTAACTCGATTTGATTTTTACCCGATCCGATTTTAACCCGATCATTATTAATTATTTACTTTTTTATTCAAGTTCTTATACTATATATTTACTAATTATAAATAAGTTAATTTTTTGACTACAAAGAAATAATCCGGAGTCTTAAGTTTACTTCATGTACATATCAATTATATTAATTTACTTTCTAAGCTTTAATAAATGCCACAAGATCTAATAAACCTAAACATTAAGCGGGAGTTAATTGATTTGCTTGTAAAGCTCTAGTTAAATGCTGCCTAAAGCTTATTGTCATTTTTAATGAATTCGTCAATATATCACTAGCTCAGTCTCACTTCTCACTTATATAGGTATAATAAGTCATCGATAATTATTCAATCTCAATTTTCGTCAAAGATAAAAATTACACATAACTTGATCAAATGAGAAAACTAAAACTTCGTGCTTCATAATTAATAATCATATTGACCCAATAATAAGGTAAAAACTAAACAATATCTCTAGTTTAAAAATAACCTTATTTGGATATGAATTTGGTCAACTCGACCAAAATCCAGGCAAACACAAAAAAGAATTGAACCGAAATTGACCGAACCGAAATCAACCCGACCCAAATTCATCCGACCCGAAGTTACCCGGCTAAACCCGTGCGTTTTAAACCCGATCCAAATATTTCCGAACCGAAAGTGAATCGATCTGAAGTTGACCCGACCCGTATCCGACCCGGACTCGATAGACCATGACCCAAATTTGACCCGACCCGGATTTGACCCGATCCTAGTTAAAAGGATAATTTTGATCCGAACATATCCGACCCGAACAGACCCGACACGAATAGACCCGACCCAAACTCCATCCGGTTATCCGAATTGACACCTCTAATTGGAGTAACATATTCTTCGTACAAAATGAGTAGGTGGGGAATTTCGTGGCCAAGTTTCTTTTATTTTTGAACCAAGTGGAAAGTTCGTCCTTTGTAATTTTGTTTTTTTTGGGTTAAACATAGGAATCTGGCAAAATTGAAAAGCCATTGAAGGGTCCCTATTTATGATGAGTAGTAACTTATGTTTTACATGATGTTAACACCGGCATATCACATCTCGTTCATTGCATGGCTGTATGAAATTTACGGTATATGGGGGGCCAGGGAAGTTGAATTCTTATCTTAGATTATCAAACACATTAGTTTTTTTTAAAAAAGTAACATAAAATCACGAATGACATTAGGCCAAGGAAGTTTAATTCTTAGGATATGTCATATGGACTACATATAAACATTACATATATTTCTTTATTTGATACTCGCATTAGTATAGAAATTCATGACATAATCACACGCAAATTAGTATATATAATGAACATAATTTATTAACACTTTTCTCTTTTAATTTCTTATATTTAGAGCCTGTTCTTTTCAGCTTAATTTCAATTCAGTTCAGTTCCTAATTTCCTAACAATTGATTTCCATTAAGCTCCAATCAATATAATTCAGTAAATTACAACAGACCCTTAGCCCTAAGGGCAGTTTATAGCATTTTCTTTATTCTTATCCTAATATGACATTAAGGGCCTGTTCTCTTACGTTGAAATTCAGTCCAGTTCAGTTCAGTTCAGCTCTGTTCAGTTCAGCTCAGCTCCTAATTTCCTTCTCTTATAAAATATTCATTTCGGTTCAGTTCAGTTCAGTTCATTTCAGCTGAGTTCAGTCAATGAGAACACACTACACCAAAAACTAGATTAGAGATCGCAAAATATAGAACGGTTATTAAAGGTAGGCGTTTTCCAGAAGAATATAAATCGTTTTAATATAAGAGGCGTTCTATATGTTAATACGTATAGAACGGTTAGCATAGTTAACCGTACTGTATTTTAATTTACTCAAATAATTAAAAATAATAATTATTTATTATAGATGATATAGAACGGTCATCTTGACAACCGTTTTGTATTATATTAATTAATTATTATTTTTAATTAGGAGGAAATTATATACGTACATACACAATAATAATTTATTCATCTTTTCAAAAAAAAAAAATATTACCGAAATTTCCGTAAATTTTTTTTTACCCAAAATGGGAAAATTGAAGCGATTATCACTTTCACTTTCATCAAAAAGTGAAACCTCTTTCTCATTCATCTGTAAAAAAAAAGTGAAACCTTCATGAAACCTTCATCAAACCTCCATAGCAAATCTTTCATTAGCCGCTTACTGCACCGCCGCTCCACCGCCGTTCCACGTCTGCAGTACCGCACATGTCTGCTGAGCCACCAGTAAATTGAGGTAGGCTCGATTTTTTTTGTTCGAATTTTTATTGTGGTAGAGTAATTGGATTCTGATAATTGTCAATCTAATTGCATGAATCATTCGAATTATGGAGGAAACAGAAGTAAATTCGTAGAATTCGAATTTTAGGTGATTGAAAAAACCTTCAAAGTTCTTGTTTTTGGGATAAATTCATCAATTGTTTGTATGTAAATATTTAAACCGAATTGTTGCAGTAAGTTCAATCAAATTACCCTTAATTTTGTCGAATTTACTCAACGAATTCCTGGGGTTTTGATTCGATTTTTTTGCTCGAAATTTCTCGAATTAATGCTCGAATTTGCTCAATTTTTTGCTCGAATTTGCTTGAATTTGCCCATAATCGAATTTGCTCGAATTAATGCTCGAAATCCTGGGGTTTCTTAGGGTTTTATTTTGTTGTTTTGCTCGAAATTGGGGGTTTTTATTAATGCTCGAATTCCTGCGGTTTGGTTGTTGAATTTGTGGAAATTTTTTTGGTCGAATTTCTGGGGGTTTTTGGGTAGAATTTTTGGGGTTTTTGGGTCAATTTTCTGGGGTTTTTGGGTCGATTTTCTGGGGTTTTGGGTCGATTATTAGGTCGAATTTCTGGGTGATTTTTGCTCAAATTTCCTTGAATTTCTGGGTGATTTTTGCCTTGGGGATTGCCTTGGACCTGGGTTTTTTCAGCCTGTGTTTAGAAACTGACTGCTTGAAGCTGTGCAATGCCTTGAAGAAAAGAGATGTGCAGCCTACTTACTACTTAGTTTGGTTTGGTAGTGAATAATATCCTGAATTTAGCTGCTAGGTGTCGTGTTTGTTCCTTTTCTTTTGTGAAACGTGATGGCAATCGGGTTGCTCATGAGCTGGCAAAAATGAGTTGTAAGGCCTGTTGAACAGATTAATGACTTGCATTGTGCAAATGTGCTTAATCCATTGTTTTTAAAACAACTGTCTAAGGCCTGTGTATAGAACAGAAGGAAGCACTAATGTTGAAATGGGTGATCTTTTATAGGTAGTTTAAGGGGTCTAATGTTGAAATGAGTAAAATATAGATGATTCGTATGCAGCTAGGTTGGAGATTAGACAATTGCAAGCAATAGAAATGATTTGCAACTTTCAAACATAATGTCTTCAAAAGGTTCTTGAGGTGATGTAGGTTAAGGCAATCATCTGTGTTGTTTTCCTTTTTTTTTTTCTAAAGCTTGGTGTGTTATGCAGCAAGATAGCAATTATCAATTATCATTGTTGTGAAGTCATCTGATAAACAGTCAACAACCGTGGTTCTTTCCTTGACTATGTCTGGTGTGGAAAATAGTTAGCATGAATCTGATGTCTGTACTGTTTTAATTTATTTATGGCGTATGAGGATTGAGATTCAAGTTTTTTTTGTAAGCTTATTCCTTGTCTCAATGATGTTCTTGTAGTTTAATTGACTGATATCGGCTCATCTTTATTTTTACAGTAGACAAATCTCAGACAGTTAAACAAA